TTCTTATCCACAATTACTTTCCCTTATCCCTTAAATTACCATAAAACTGACAACATTTAAATTAATCATCCATGGACTCTGTGTTTTTTTCAGCAGATTATTTCAGTGTCTATTCAAAAAACAAAAAATAAAAATAAATAAAAAAGAAATCCCCAAAAACATTAAACATTTAACATAACCTACCTTTCAATGCCTGGCAGTTGAAAGTTATTTATACCAGTATGTATTCAGCCTGAACATCCTATGGATGTTTCAGCTCATCATTTTTTGTTCATATAAGCTCAAAATCACTGCAACTAATATAATCTAATTCAAGGAACCTGTAAATATTTAGAAAACATTTAACCCTTTTTTTTCACATTGTAACACTCAATTCATGGATTAAATGAATGAATTTTAACACCATTTCTACATCATAGCATATTAAGTTTTAGTTTCGTCTAAACTTGTAACTGCATTTTAGTTTACTGCTACACCCTCCCCAGAAAATTATTAGAAGTTCTTTAATCTCTAAGGAAAAAAAACCCAGCTTGGCGCAGATTCCCCCTATTAAAAACTCCCCCACCAGACCTTGTATCCGTGAATGTTAGTGCATGAAAGAAAACCACATTCCCATGTGGATCCTTGTGTTCTTCGAGTCATTAACCGTGTGTGGGCGTGTTGTTACGTGACAGTATGTGTGTGTGTCTATGTGAGTGGATCTATACGTGGGAAACTGGTCAGGAGCCATCCCGCTACTGGTTTGGAAGAAAAAGTGTTTCTTGGAGCAGTGATCCTCTCCAACATGCAAAAAGTTCGATGTTCGGACAAGTCCATCAGGTTTCCCTCTGTTACCACAGCAGCTTTGAACCATAAGAGTCTTGGGGCCCTGTGTCCCCACACCCCCTGAAGGATAAGTCTTTACCTGTGTCATCAGCAGTATCACATAGAGGTAGAAGGAAACAGTGCGTCAAAGATGTTCCTCCCTTCAAGAGGAAATGTCATATTGAAATGTTCATCTGCTCAGAGCACAGGATCGTACTCTGACTTGCTGCTGCGTTCCCAAAACTCAGCAGTACACAGTTCCTGAAGGTGTTGAATTCGACTGCACCCCCTCTATGCAAAGTGTCCAGCTATAGTCCATTTAAAATATTCTCCAAAAAGCAGTGCTCCGATGAGAAAAAACAAACAAAACAAAAACAAAGAACAAAGAACAAAATAAAAACAAGAAAAAAGAAAATCTGTTCCAACATCCCCAGAACCAGTCAATAGTTGTCATATCTGGACCCCTGACCAGATCCAAAAATGTGCAGGAAACATAATCTCTTCTCATATGTGTTATCTCAAATAAACTAAACACTAAAGTGTGCATCCCCTCTAAAGTATTAATTGCAGCTCTAGTGAAGTAAAGTCAGGTGTTCTTATTGCTTCATGCATTAAAAGTATGGTTACCCATCCCCCAAATTGTATATAGCCCCTCAAATGCTATTTATAACTCTGCTCGCAGTAAAAAAACAAACAAAAAACAAATAAAATTAATCAAAACAAATAAAATAAGATAAAAAGATAAAATAAATGGTGAAGTTTTAGTCCCTAGGCCTGATATTGAATCGCCATAAGCTCATTAACACTATAAGTCTTCATCGTTATTGCTTATATTGAAAGAAACCATCATTTGCTTTAAACATTTGCTCCTAAAATGTTATAATTTCCCCTAAATTGCATTCTGTTGATGCAACTTTACCATTCCCAAAAGTTAAAGTTTCAACTTGTTGTCCCTTTAATAATATTATGCTAATTAACAACTGACCAAACCATTTATCAAAAAACCCAGTCTAATTTATCACATAGTAAAACATCTCTAAATCCTCTTTTTTATTACTCTATTTAAGAATACTCCACCCCCTGATGATATAAAGAAAATTTAGCAGACCATTTAAAATCTGTCGGTAAAGTTACTCCTATAATTTATATTCTATGTTGTTGCCATCGCTTCTGATATTTCTCTTTAAGAAAATAAATAAATAAAGCAATAATACTAATAATCCCCAAACTACTGCCGCGTTGTTCAGAAAGATATTACATCTACCTGTTGATCCCCGTAAAGCAAAAATATTATTCATAGATCTGTATTAATAAACCGGTTTAAAATAAGTTGCCCATAATTTTTCATTGTGAATAAGAAATCTGGTGTGTCAGTTCACTTATCTTTTTTCTCATCCGTCTTGTCTGATGATCCCATGACCTTCCATCAACCCATCACTGCCAGTGTTCTTTTCTCGTCCAAAGCAGTGGGCATCCAGTCATTTCCTTAATGTTCGCATCTCAGCAGCTGCAAACCATCCCTCCTTCTGTAGTTTAGGAGCAAAGTTTGTCTCTGTGCCCCTTGTAGGTTAATCCATCCTGTGACTCAAGAAAGAAAGTGTCCAATGTCTCTCCAAACAAAAAAGATCCATTGTTCATTTTGAAACATTTCCATCCGTAGTGTAGTCAAAACTATTCAAAAAAATTTAACATGCGTGCCACGTCTCTTTTTTTTTTCATAAAGGCTAAGATGTTAGTAAACAAACAGAAAAAAACAAAAAACAAACAAAGAAACATACAGACACAAACAACGACAAACATGTAAGACAACAAAAACCCCAGTGGTGCCTCCGACTTCTCCAAATAGTTGTTGGTTCATCTTGTCATTCGTTAAATGCCTCTGCCAGCATGACTGCTCTTAATGGGGGCGCAATTCCACCCCAACAAAAGTCTGTGAGCTTCAAACCACCACATCAATCTGTACCTCATAGCTCATATCAGAACCAGAGAGGAATTAAAACAAACTCAGAGCTCACTAGAATGGCCTTCAGCCGGGAACAAAACATGCAGCTCACAATCTCTGCACCCTGTCTCTGGCATGCTGCGTTCTCACACCATCTCTCTCATGTCGTAATCCATGGTTCCGATCCAGTCCAGTTACTAACCAAGTCAGTCCAGTCAGTTCAAACCTATTCAAATCCTCCTATCAAAAAGTTTTCAACTATCTGAACCCCCCTCTCTCTCTTGCTCTAGTCACTCTCAGCCAAGTTGTCCATTTCACATGCCAGAACTTCTGCAGCTGTTGGGAAAATAAGGGTTAACGCACATCTTAAACAAAACACAATGAAGGATGAGACTTTTGCCAGCCTGTCCTGGAAGAAAAATGTTAACATTTAAGGATTGTTACAAACACAGCCTGAAAAAGAAAAAAAGAACATGTTTAAGCAAAATGATCTCCTGATCCTCCTTAAATGGGCCTCTGAATAATCATGCCTGCTTACTGACAGCCGCACTGTCACTCTCTACAAGCAGGGAAAAAGTAAATGACCCCTCTGGTTTGTTACCAGGAAAAAGCAATCAAACAGTTCATCAATTAGTCAATAGTTAATCACTTCATTCACAGAAATTTGTAAAGTTAGCAGAATTTAACAAGTCATGCAAAGAAGGTAAGGCCCAGATGAACAGTGAAAAGTGTTAGTGTTAGTAATGATTAGAGATGCAAATTAATCAGTTCGTGCTTAGGCAGTTTCCAAACAGCATTATACACAGATAAAAATAATTATGGATAAAAACTGAAGGCTGAAAAAACCCAGGGTCAGGTCACACCGAAATTGTTCTTAACTCTCCAGCCTTGTTTATAAAAGTTGATCCCGCTAATCTGCTGAGCTCCTGCGGGTATCTTGGCCATATGCTGTGTCCAGTTCCAGCGCAAAGTGTGATTTATCCTGTCCCTAATCAATCTCTAATAAAATCCTAATGAGAGAAAAATGAAACTAATCAATCTCTAATGCAATTCTAATGATTGAAAATGAAACCACCTTTAAAGTAAAATCATGTAATGCCCCCATCTGAGATTTTAGTTTCCCAAAAGTAAAAACACCCACTCCCATAATTACTTATATATTTAATTATTATTTTTTTATCTATAATCTATTAATCTACAGTATCTCAGCTGCACTCCACACTCAAAAATTACCTCACACCTTACAACAGCAACCTGCTCTGGTCTTGTCACGGCCTCTCCTAGTTGGGGCCCCTGAGCAACATGTTTGATACGATTACCCTTCTGTTATGCCCCCAGAGCTCCTTCTCAATCCTGTAAAAATGCAAATCATGTTAATGTCACATCAAAAAACATTCTTAATCATTCCAAAATGGTACCATACACATTCTACCTCACATGCATTCCACATTTAGGACAGACAGACAGACATTGGCCACATAAAGTTTGTTTAATCCATCAGTATCAATTTAGATTTATCTTCTTAGAGGATTTTTTTTTAATTTAAACAAAAATCATAATCTTTTCACCAGTCCGGTCTTAAGACCTCTGCGCCAGTGCTTGTCAGCCTCATTTTAGGATCCTTGTTAAAGTATATGTGCACATTTATGGAAACCTAAGATTTATTTGCTCACGTTAGACACCAAAATAAATTTTCACACCCAATGATTTTTAATTCCAAGCGTCTCCCAAAAATGACATGTTTGAATTTTCAAATATGAGAACACCTCTAAGGGGTTCTGAAAAAGTGGTATGTGTTGTTTTTTTTTCTTCTGAAAATCCCTTTATTTGTGTAGTTTTTTGAGAGGTGGGCACATAAAGATTCAGGGTGCTGTATCTGGCCCCCGTATCAACCATAAAAGGACAGTTACTGCCCTCAATCAAAATATCTATCATCACTGCTGCTGAAAATTTCTCAAAAACTACCTCCATAACTAAACAAATAGTGGGATCCCGGCCTCCCTAGTGTTGCTGCATTGACTTCCTTTCTCTAATTCTTACTGAACCCGCACTTCGATCTTCTTTGCCCATTTCTCCCCTTCTCTATCCAACTCATTTCATCTACTGCTGTCTGCCTCTCTTTTATCCACTGAACTCAACCGTCCTAATTTATCTATTTGATGTAACCCACTCTATTCTGAACAGTTGACTGATTAAAGATCCATTTAATCCACCTTAGAGTATCCTCAGTGAGCAGTGTTTAATTTATATTCACTTTGCTACAGTTTGACAAACTTAGCTTGTGTGGTCTAACATTTTCAAATATAAGCTCCTGAATCAGTCACTCTAAATGTAGATTACAATACCATTCTAGTGTAGTAATTGGTAGATGTCTTTAAGGTAAAAACTGCTTCTAGACTCCTGGGCCCTGCTTCTGCTGTGATCGGCCCTGTGTGCACTCAGTCTCTCTGTGTCTTCTTTTCCTTTTCTCTCCTGCCTCTAAGTGAAGGGCTGCTCTGTGTGATCCACCTTCTGGAGCTCAATGTTGGGCGGGGGTTTACAGCACTGAAAATGTATTAATTGATCTTCTTACCTTTAAAATGTTCATTTCAAGACATCGTAAATTGTAAATATATCAACCTCTTATATTTTAAGCTTTCCTTTCCATTTGTATCATATCTTCCTCATTGCTATCCGTATGTGGCTTCCTCTGCTCATCTCTCCCTCTTAGACTGTCAGCTGCCCCTAGACTGTGCCCTTCATGTTCTGTGCCCATGCTATCAATTGTTGACATTCGCTGAAATGCTTTATTTACCGCCTCCTCTATTAAATCTTGCATCTGAAACTTCTTTCGTACCTCTTGTCCCAATTCTTCCTCTGTAGGCCTTATTTCACAATTTATCTGACCTTCACGCAACTCCATAACAGGCATCTGCACACATGGGTTTGCTGGAATCATTGCATCACCAGCCTTACGAAACATTTCTCTGACACCTTGATGTGGACTGGGGTCCATAATAGGCTCTGTTTCTGCAATATTAGATGTACTCATTAAAGGTTTTTCTTACCCTCTGAAGTGTCGAGTGCCTGCTCACCTCCCTGAGCCCCGTTTTGCTCCACCTGTTCCTGTTCAGGGTCCTTGTCAGAAAAATAGTTACTAAAATTGAACTTGGTTTGTCTAATCAAATCCAAAAGTTTTGTTTCTTCCTTCTGGTGTTTGTCTCGTCCGAACACACCAACACCAGCCATTTTTTTTCACGAGCTTGTGACAATCTATTTTTTAGTGTATCCAAATAAAAACCACGTTGTGAAGTGTTTGGAGGGGGCCCCTCTAATTCCCCAAACACTCCATCTTCTCTCATTTTTTCAACCCATTCATCAAATTTTCTAATCTGGTGTTCTGCATCCTTCAATGGATAACTCGCCATGATCATATTTCTCCCTTTATCCAGACTCGCTTTTAATGAGGTGTTTCTGGATTCAATTTCTAGTCCACATGCATCCATCTTTCACACCTTCCGTTCACACAGTGTATAAATTTAGACCTCGACGTCTTACGTGAGATCCCTCTGGGCTTTAAACTTTTTACCCATAAGCTACAGTGAGCCGCTTTTCTGCTAAGGAAGCGCGTCCGTCAACAACTGTGTCCGTCAAGGAAGTGTGTCCGTCAATAAATGCGTCCGGCAGTGGAAAGGAAAAAAGAAAAGAAAAATGAAAAGATATTTAGAGAAAAGAAAAGATTTAGATATAGTTCCGCCTCGTTCACTCCACCAACTTTTAGGACTAGACAAACAAGTTACCTAATCCGGGCATCAGTCTCTTCTAGTTTTATGAGGAATATCATTTTATCGTCTCTCTCTTTTCCTTTTATAAGAGAAGAGAAGGAAAGAGAAAAACACCTCAAAAGGTCCGTTTCAACCTGACCCGCTCGCTTATTTCCAGTCTCGGTTTTTCGTAAATGTCCTTATGGGAGGTATACTGGCAAACTCTAGCCGGCTATGTGACTGGTTTCTGTCTGTGCGTCTGTTTTCAGAAGTGCATCTTTCGTGTCTGCAGGCAGACCGGGAATAAAATCACCGTCCCTTTCTGCATGCAGAAACCGTTGGGCTTTCCAACCAACTTATCCTAGTGAGCAGTATAGTTCTTGAAGACGTTTGCGCAGTCGCCTTCAGTCGGACTTTCAACCGCTACCCACAGCAGAACGCACGACTTTCTTCCTCTCTCTCTCTCTCCTTTTTTTCTTTTTTTTTTTTTTTATGTGTACACGTTCGCAATGTAAAAAAAAAAAACCAACAAATACAACAAAACATAAACCGCAAAAACAAAAAACTAAAATCACTCTGAGCAATTTCTCTGTCCTCTTTTGCATAAAAAGCTTCAGCTCACTTCAGAAAATCACAACACAGCCAAAGTGTTTTAACAGTAAAAACACTGGAGATATTTTGTAATAAGGAATCTCCTCACCTTATCAGTTGTTTCGGCCGCAGGCTGTGGAGCTTTTTCCGTCGGTGGCTCTGTTGTCCTGCTTCCAGGTCACGGGCGGAAACACCAATTTGTTAAAGTGAGAAGGATTTGTCCCCTTCAAAGTAAAGGCTGTAACGCCCCGGGGCCTCCTCACACGGTTCTTTTCCTGGGAGCAAGTTATTTACTACTCTTAACTCAAACTCGTTAAAACCATATAAAAAAGGACTATAAAAACAGGAGTAAAAAAGTAACAGAGTTTATTCTAGATCAGGTCGTTACAGGACAGAGAAAAATGCTTCGAGCTATGCACAGCTGTGGTCTCAAAAATCACGTCCGCAAGCGTCCGGCAAAGTTTGAGCCCCGATGAAGGTCATCCCTTCTTCTTATACCTTGTGAGTCTATGTGTTGCATCAGGTGGATGCTTAGCTGTCCGTATCAGAAACTGACACGCCATCCATGTCTTGAACTCCATGCAGGTTGCCTCTCTGTCTCAGGGTTACAGATACAGCAGCTCTCCTATCAGACCGGCTCCAAGATGTGCCCATATCCCGTGTACTCTTAGAGACACGAAGGCTGTCTTGATTAGATGACCTCCGTACACACCACGACATCCACAATGTGAAGGAAGGCCTTCTGCTCTGTCTAATCTGACTAACAAATTAACAGTGCACATGATGTATAAATAATAAAACCTAACAGTTGTTTCATAGACCTTTCTTCAGTTTTGAAGCTAATTTCGTAAAAGTTAAATAACAATCCACTGGACTTGGTTTCTAAAGTTGGAAGACGTTTCGCATCCCCTCCAGGAAGCTTTCTCAATTCAAAATGTCTGGATTCTTTATGTGGACAAGGCCTTGTATTGCTTGGAAACATGCAAATTGAAACTGACGAGCGGGTCGTTTGGTTCCATTGTTAGCCTGTAATATCTGAAACCTGTCTATGATTGTGCAACGTCGGTCGTTAAAGGGGGGATTGTCGTTAAAGGGAGATTGTCACCTTTAATACCTGAAACCTGTCTATGATTGTGAAAGGTTGGTCATTAAAGGGGGGATTGTTTACGTGGCTGAAGAGAAGAGGTACTTTGTTCCTCTGTGATGTGGTCGGGGTTGTGGTGATACCTTGAAGGAATCAACTCAATAACTGAATTGTACGTTTTTGGAAGCTGGAATCTGAGTCCGCCACCTCTGTTCAAGGTTGGTCTTTCTTAATATTCCTTCACGCCCCTCTCAAACCACCTATTTTCTTTATCCGGAATGTGAACATTCTGTTCCTCAAAAGAATGTCCTTTGTCCATAAGGTGTAGGTGTACTGGGGAGTCTTGTCCAGAGGAGGCCGCTCTTCTGTGTTGGGCCATGCGTCTGTGGAGAGGTTTTTTGGTTTCTCCAATATAAAGATCAGAGCATTCCTTGCTGCACTGAACTGCAGACGCCACTCCGCTCATATTGGGTCTGGGGGTTTTATCTTTAGGATGCACTAGTCTCTGTTTAAGGGTCTTCTTTGGTTTGAAATGTACTGAGATTTTGTGTTTGGAGAAAATCCTCTTGAGTTTTTCAGAGACTCCGACAACATAAGGGATTGTGATGTTTTTGCTTTTAATCTTCTCACCATTATGTTCTGCTGCATGTCTTTTGGATTTTCTTGCTGATTTGATAAACGCCCAGTTTGGGTATCCACAAGTTTGAAGAGCATCTTATATGTGTTTCTGTTCTTTGTGCTTCCCTTCTGTTTTAGTAGGGACATGTTCTGCCCAGTGTTGTAAGGTTCTGATGACTGAGAGTTTGTGTTTCAGTGGGTTGTGTGATTCAAAAAGAAGATACTGGTCTGTGTGAGTAGGTTTGAGTAACCATACCCTGCCGCCCTGGCGTCCTCTTACACAACATCCCCACTTTCCTCCTCTAAATAAAAAATGTATGACGTTTCCGCTGTCCATAGCGTTCCTTGAAAGTGTCGTTGCTAAGTCACCAATTTAGTGCTACTTAGTCCAATTGGAATTTCCCATTGGGAACCTACTAGCACTAAGTTGCTCACTGGTTAGCAATAGGATGGCCAGATGTCCGGCTTTAGGGCAGACAGTCCGGATTTTCATTGCACTGTCCGGCGTCCGGCGCCGCGTCCAGCCGGACGTGTATTTGTCCTCCTTTACCCCCAGATTGAACATACTCCGTTAGCGCTCTGCTTCGCCCCACTCACGTACGTCATGGGGAGTACTTGTCTGTCATATAAATCAAGGAGAGCTGTTCCACATTCTCCGCACGTCTCCGTCCACGTACGTCTTCTCCATCCTTCACCGTCAAAATACGGAGCTGAGCTATTTTTTGCTCTGCTCTGGTCCGTCAAGATCAAGACTCGCTATTGCAATCGCACCAAACAGGGAAAAGAATGTAGTGAAGACCCGGTTTGTCAAATTAAATTATAGTAAAAACAGATCGGTAACTAGAAATTAGAACATAGTTCCTACAGTATATATTCCCAAAAACTAAGAGCAATTAATTAAATCATTGGATGCAGACTATTGGCGCTTCAACAGACCAGGAAGAAGTTGTGAGATTCTAGAGCGCATCTCACAACTTTAAAAGAAAATTCTTATTGCAGGAATGGATGAAGAGATGATGAGTTTGGAAGCAGAGAACAAACAGTTCATACAAACTATGTATGATCCTGTTTATCCCTGTTACAAAAATCCACAACAGAAAGAAAATATTTGGGCAGAAACTGAACATCTGCTGGGTGATTATGGGGATTTTTTTTATATGTCATATTAAATTAAACGTTCACAGGGTTTATACAGGAATGAGGAACTAGTTTAATGCTCTTTTAATGCTATTACAAATAATTTTATTGCCATCAACAAGTACCATGTACACAAGTTATTAGGTTACATGAAATAAGGAGCTGTAAGCACAGTTCCATGACTCAAGTTTGTATATATATATATATATATATATATATATATATATATATATATATATATATATATATATATATATATATATATATATATATATATATATATATACATACATTTGTACATACATATTTTGACATAGGACTGGTCGGACAAGGCATTAATGAGTCTTAGACATGGGCTTAGAGATGCATGCATAAAATGTGATCTTGGAATTTGAACTTTATTAGAACTTTAATTTCCAAACCACTTAGCCTTTCCTCTCTTATTTTTTATTTTCTCCTTGCTTGTTACCTCTCAGTCTGATTAGCATTTCTACCGTGGGCACTTATTTTGCAGCTAAATTAACTTACTGTTTTCACAAATAGATCTGTAGAAGCAGTCTGCATGTAAAAGTGCCTGATATTATAAAGCTGTGGCCATATATGTCATTGGAATGCCGGATTTAAATCGTTTAGATGGACGAGCAAAGTACACTTTGACAACAAAGTGTACTTTGCATATAAATAACATCTTAAAAATACATTCACATTCTTCACAAATTATTGAAGTCTTTAATGATTATTAATGATATGCTACTGTCTCTCCATATAAATTTTAGCAGAACCTTGGATGGTAAGGATAAGAAATGGAGAAAAAAAGAAATCTCACGGAAGCAAAAAACTCATAAATCCTATATTCATACAGAGCTCTCTGCCTAATTATTTTAGCAGTTTAATTTTCTGCATTTTAATCCTATTTTCTTGTGTTGCTTCAATTCAATTCAGCTTTAGACATGGTGCCTTTGATATTCTGCTCGGTCTCACATGTTTCTCCTGGACGCTCTGTTGGTTTATGATGAGGAGAGGCACAGACTAAGTGTAACAATCCATCTACATGCATCAAAAGACTTATGCTAGAATCAATATATGATTTATAAGGTGGCAGAGTTATGCATGGTTGCCTGAAAAACACATAGCACTGCCACTCAAAATTCAGTTTGCATCATCAGTAGGAATTAGTTAATATTTTAGTGTGTTAAAAGCTCTTGTAAAATGGTGCCTGTTCACAGCAGCACTATGGCAAATGCTGATTTGAGCATTTTACACCTTAGTACACAAGAAGAGAACACTTATGTATTCAAATATGGTAACTGCATAGAACAGCTGCTGCAGTAGCTGCCTGAGGATGACTGCTAAATGTTGCTATGTAGAGGGTTTTAAATGTTTACATGATGCTGAATCAAGGTTCTGAGCAGATTGCACAGTTCAGTATATTCATAATCCAATGGGCCACAGTTTTGGAGTCAGAAACTTTAGTCATACCAGAGTTTTTGTAGTCTGCCTTTATTGTATCTATGGTAATCAAAGGGATCCACAGCATGTAGAACATGGTCTGAATACAGAATGTTGTCATTCTCCTATTAACTGAAAACTTGGTGTTTTTGATTGGTGGCCTAGTGGCTAGGGTATAGAGCTTGGAATCCTGAGGTTCTGAGTTCGATCCCCACTACTACAGACTGCCACTCTGTCCCTGAGCAAGACCTTTAACCCCACACTGCTCCCTGTGTGCCGCGCAATGGCAGCCCACTGCTCCCCAAGGGGATGGGTTAACCCTTTATAGGGCACTCAGTGAAATACTTTGAAAATCAACATTTCAAGCCAATAGTGTTATTGGAATCCAGAGCAAGACCTTATTACCTTTGTAACATTAAAAAATACAGATATTTTGATTGCTAAAATAAATGTCAATGTAATAAGAAACGCCAACCTGCCTGAATATATTTAGAAAATTAACCCAAATACTTGCTGATGAAGATTCTCAGATATCCAGGTCATAGTCATTCCGTAAAAGTTTAAAAAACAATCCACTGGACGTGGTTTCCAAGATTTGAAGATGTTTTGCTTCCCCTCCAGGCAGCTTTCTCAATTCAAATGTCTGGATCTGCAGTGAGTTTGAGTCTAGGCCTTGTATTGCTTGGAAACATGCAAATTGAAACCGACGAGTGGGTCGTTTGGTTCCATTGTTAGCCTGTAATATCTTAAACCTGTCTATGATTCTGAAGGTCGGTCGTTAAAGGGCGGGATTGTCTCCTGTAATACCTTAAACCTCCTGTAATACCTGGTGTTACCTGGGTAACCAAAATGCTTTTATATGAAATTCATGCTTTTCTGTTTAACTTTTCGATTAGCTCATCTAATTGGTCAAATGCCAAAATAAGATGTACAGCCATGTAGCAGTATCTTTGCTGAATGCCTGGATATAGATTTTGTGTTTCTAGACCTCACTGAGGGATGGGGGGACTCCATTTGTAAGGCAAGTAATCAAAAACGCTAACTTGCTCTATAAAGGGTTAAATGCAGACATACATTTCTCCAATGTTAGATCAATTACATTTAATTATTAAAATTACATAAAACCATTATTACTTCAGAAAATTCTGCATCAATTGTTATATTTTTTACCTATGGACAGAGGTGGGTGGACTAGCCAAAAAATGTACTTAAGTATGAGTAGCACTGCTTTAATATTTTATCACTCAAGTAAAAGTAGAAAGACTAAAAATGTAGCCTACTTGGTGAAATGGCTTCTCAAGCTCATAACTTTTGACTTAATGTTTAAAATGATCTAATCAGAGAGTATGTGCAAATGCTTTTTTATTAGAAAAACAATTAAATTTTTTCCAAATTAAATTACAAAATCATTCATTTGGGCAGAAGAAACAGTTTTTCCAAATGATAATTTCTCAATATAAACAGTAGTATTTCATAATTTAGTTCTTTTCAATATTTTTTTCTCTTTATATCCAACGTATTAGTTTAAGCATTTTCAAATACCTATAACCAACCCCATACTGATTTATTTATTTTACATTTATGTCTGTCAGTTTTAGCTTTTATTGGTTTAGCTCTACTTCAGAAGTCTGTCATATTGTCGTTTTTTTTCCCTATCTGAACCAGAAATAACCTGGCTTTGGACCAGAATAATTTGATATAAAATAAAACTATTAAAATATCAAATTAAATGTTAGGTTGAGGGATCTAGTTAAAGGCAGAAATATTTCAGGGGAATTTTGTTCTATTATTGTTCCAAGCAAAGAACACATTGTTTAAAGGAAAACAATAATCTTAAATAGAATAAGAAAAAAATGCATCCAGAAACAAAATATTTGAAAAAAGTTTTAATCAAAAAATGAATAAGAGGTCAACTTTGCTGTTTTCTCAGATTTTTTTTGTTATTCTTATTTTAATAATATATTTAAGAAAACAAAATCTGAAAATCTCAGCAAAGTTGCTCTCTAAACCTTTTTTAATTAAAAATTTAAACTTTTTTTTTTCTGAATTGCATTTTTTTGATGTTTCCATTTATAAAATGTGTTCTTAGCTTGGAACAATAATGGAACAAAATCCCTCCATACTAAGATCTGTTTATCACACTACATCATTTCTTCTGTATCTGAAAATGTTTCCTTTGCTGATTTAATATTACGGAGTCTTATTGCATTTTACATTCAGTGTACGTTTTCTGGTTATTTTTATTGGAAAAATATGATGTTTTTTTTGGTGATTTTTGGTTAACAAATGACAACCAGCCTGCCGTAAGGTTTCTTTACATGGTAGATAAATGACCTGCCTTTTATTTTTTGTTTCTGTAGTTCAATAACATCAAGTGAAAGTGAATTTTAACATCTGTACTGTTGTTTTTGCAGAGAGAGAGACTGCGAAACATTGAGAGGATCTGCAACCTACTAAGGAAGGTAAGTGATGGAGCATGTTTTATATAGTTGGTATCACATAGAAACGGAACAAAGATCAATGATCAACATGATCAGGTAGCCTCCTATATGTGTCAGCCATGTTTTCTAAATATCATATATTCCTCTCCTCTAGCAGCACTTTGGTTCGTTGAGTTTGCCGAGCAGGTCTTTCTTTGTTTTTCTGAATCACACAGAGATTCCTCCTTTGTCTTTCTGCCACATGTTGGCCTGACATCAAAGGGGAGACAGAGTCTGAGAGTTTCTGTTCTCTGCAGAGCTCTTCTGTTTGTTTCTGTGTGTGTTTGCCTAGAGGACTCAGCATGAGGATCCTCCCAGCTTCAGCATGACATCTGTTTCTCCCTCCACCTCTTCGAAATTCACACACTGTGCCTGAATCTGGGCATCCAACTGTGTGTGTGTGTTTATGTGCCTGCATAATGCTTTGGGTTTATTGGCTGTGCAGCTGATGTTGGTTATCAGTGTTGTCAACCGGAGCCCTCAAGCCATTCACTGGGCCCTGGGGAGAAAGATTTCTCTAAAGCATTTTCTGCAGCAACAAATACACACAGAGACGCTCCCATCTCCATCCAGACACAGTGTCCTTGCAGCTGTGACCTTCCGAGATCATTTTAGGTGACAGTAGGCATGCTGCCCTCAGTTTGAAGAGAAAATATATATTTTTATAGATTAAAATACACTATATTGCCAAAAGTATTTGCTCACCCATCCAAATTATTGGAATCAGGTGTTCCAATCACTTCCATGGCCACAGGTGTATAAATTCAAGCACCTAGGCATGCAGACTGTTTTTACAAACATTTGTGAAAGAATGGGTCGCTCTCAGGAGCTCAGTGAATTCCAGCGTGGAACTGTGATAGGATGCCACCTGTGCAACAAGTGGTAGGCCACGTGGTAGGCCACGTAAACTGACGGAGCGGGGTCAGCGGATGCTGACGCGCATAGTGCGAAGAGGTCGCCAACTTTCTGCAGAGTCAATCACTACAGACCTCCAAACTTCATGTGGCCTTCAGATTAGCTCAAGAACAGTGCGCAGAGAGCTTCATGGAATGGGTTTCCATGGTCGAGCAGCTGCATCCAAGCCATACATCACCAAGTGCAATGCAAAGCGTCGGATGCGGTGGTGTAAAGCACGCCGCCACTGGACTCTAGAGCAGTGGAGACGCGTTCTCTGGAGTGACGAATCGCGCTTCTCCATCTGGCAATCTGATGGACGGGTCTGGGTTTGGCGGTTGCCAGGAGAACGGTACTTGTCTGACTGCATTGTGCCAAGTGTAAAGTTTGGTGGAGGGGGGATTATGGTGTGGGGTTGTTTTTCAGGAGCTGGGCTTGGCCCCTTAGTTCCAGTGAAAGGAACTCTGAATGCTTCAGCATCCCAAGACATTTTGGACAATTCCATGCTCCCAACTTTGTGGGAACAGTTTGGAGCTGGCCCCTTCCTCTTCCAACATGACTGTGCACCAGTGCACAAAGCAAGGTCCATAAAGACATGGATGACAGAGTCTGGTGTGGATGAACTTGACTGGCCTGCACAGAGTCCTGACCTCAACCCGATAGAACACCTTTGGGATGAATTAGAGCGGAGACTGAGAGCCAGGCCTTCTCGTCCAACATCAGTGTGCAACCTCACAAATGCGCTTCTGGAAGAATGGTCAAAAATTCCCATAAACACACTCCTAAACCTTGTGGACAGCCTTCCCAGAAGAGTTGAAGCTGTTCTAGCTGCAAAGGGTGGACCGACGTCATATTGAACCCTATGGATTAGGAACGGGATGTCACTTAAGCTCATATGTGAGTCAAGGCAGGTGAGCAAATACTTTTGGCAATATAGTGTATATTTATAAAGGCAATACAAGTTTATTTAGATCATATATTTCTTTGGCAAAACAATTTAGTGCCGTACATGTGAAAAATAAAGAAAACAGAAGTAAGCTGCAACAGGATAGAGGCAACACAAAGGATTAAAGATTAAAAGTGAATCCATAAAATGAGATAAAACGACTGATAAAGAAAAAAAGAGAAGTTGGCCTGAAAACCTAATTTAAATGATTTGATAGCTCAAAGGCCACTCAAAACAAATATTTTTAATCTTTATTTACAGCTACTGAGGGTTTTAGTACTTCCGCAGTTGTCTGGGGGTTTATTTAAGATAAGGGGAGCATAACAATTGAAAGAAAAAACTTATTCTTGTTTACATCTACTCTGTTTCTGCAGAGTAGATACTGGATAGGAGGGGCCTTAAGATGGAACGCAACATGGGATTTTTGTACACTTAATGTGTAGTTCCTTTTTTTTTTGTGGGGAAAAATTAAGAATTAGTGAACGTCAATATAATTTGAAAGAAAAATTCACATAAGCTCTATAATATTAAATTGAGAGCCGGTCGGTGCAAGGTTTAACGTTAACGTTTTGAATAGTAGCCACAAAACTCAATTTATTTTATCGGGATTCGGTGACGAATTAAAGAGATTTAGAAAATCCATCAAGTGAATGATAACTATTTTGGTATGCCCTGAATGGAGAAAAGGGACTGAACTATACACAGATGAAAAAAAGTCTTGTACTGTCCTTCAACTCTTTAATGCACAATTTTAGCTCATTTTTATGATGGATTCTAGAAAGAGAAGCTAGTATGTCTTTTGACCTTAAAGAGCTACAAAACATCTTTCCCAGCTTCTTTGGGGATGAGAAAACGACTTGCCAATATAGCCAGCGTATGCCTGACGTCCCAGAATCTCCTAAAACGCTGACATATCCTGAACTTTCTATGTATTTTTTTTTATTTTGGACGTATACATAGAATATTCATAAGGGGTCCAGAGCGTATGTCCAACGACAGCCTAACTTATGCATAATGCACGGCAGCCAAATGCCCATGAAATGATGCAGAAGCGTGTTTCTGCCTGCTCATAATTTACAAAACCGGCCCATAACTTATCCAACATATGCCAGTGTTTTTGCCAGATTTTTTGTACGTTAAGGCATATGCTGATCTAAATCGTCAAGGAGTGACAGAGGCTTGACTGAGTAAAAAACTTCACCTTCACCAAGTATGGTCGGCTTTTAGTGTATCTGGTAACATCTGCATTCCATTTATTCATACATAACCATAAAACGATCTGACTCAAATCCAGTCATATTCATCTAAAAAAAGGCTTATATTCCACTGGATGAGTCCAACTTCCTCTTAATAGATGTTAAATTAGTTTTAAAACAATCAAATAAACCTGTAAGAAAGAAAAAAATAACAATGTAAGACTAAAAGCAGGCTCGTATCGATTGACAGGATGGAATTTATTTATTTCGTAATGTTCACTAGTTTTTCACGAGATGGATGAAGCATACTTCTGTCACTGACCAAAAATGACCTGTAATTACAGTAGTAGCCATTCAAAATGTCCCTTCTCAGTCAAACGCCAGCCCAATGGCAGCCCAATTCCCTCCAACTCCCAATGAAATCCCCTCCAACTTCCAGCCACCGGAGTGATCCCATCTTTCATATTTTTTTTTCTCCAACCTTTCACTGAATTACAGGGTCTGACAAGGAGAAGACGCTTCTCTTTAGATCTTAATGTCCACAAATCATGACAGAAATAATATTTTAGTACAAAGGCTGATGTTTAAAAAGGAATTGTAGGGGACCAGCCAAGGATCCATCATGGAAAGGAGGGATATTTTGAATGGCTACTACTGTATGGCATAACTTTATGAAGGACTGGTGTGGACATGTCCCCTCTAATAATTTCTGCTTTTTTCATCTTTCTGCTCATTTACTTTAGCCAAAGGTAACAGATTTGGGTGCAGCTATCTATCAGGTGTTTTTTTTCCTCTCTCCCGCTGCTCCCGTGTCCCGCCTCTCAATGTAACATCATCGGATCTGTTGCTTTGAGACACCTGATTTGCGGTCACACTTCACTGCTTTCAACGTAGCTACATGGTTGGAGGAGACACAGACGGCAGCTCTCAGTGAATTTAACCAGCAGCTACTTTGATGTTTAAGTAAAAGTTATGAGACGGCTTGGTTGAAAAAAATTAGAGATGCAGATTTTTTTAGCTAGAAATCACAACAGATTGTAAGTTTATACAAGTTAGTAATATTATGCAAGAAGCTTGAAAAACAAAGTTTGTTCTTCTTTACTAGTTAAAAAAAAAGCTTGGCTTCTCAGAGGACCATGACTCCCAGTTACAGGTTAAAATTAACATGTTTTTTTTTTATTGTACAGACAGAATCAGACTGCAGAGCTTCTAAAGATCTTGAAATGTTTTTTTCTGGCATCATTATATTAGTAAAGAGGTTCATAAATCTTTTAGCACAGAGTGAAGTAGGGAGAGCTGCAGATTTAAAGGTGAAACAGATTTACTGGGATATGCAACATGCAATAAAATATATATTTCCAAGTTTACCAGAGAGTTTACAAGAAAAAAATATGCTATGCTATATTAAAATGCAGCATATCCATATTTTTCTGGATGCATAGAATTGAAATTGTACTTCTAAGGATGCATTATCTATCGATTTTGGCATCGGAATCGGCTGTTGTTAGTTATTTTTTATACAGTAATGTTTTTGGACCCTATATGTGTAATGTACTAAAAAGTATCTCTCCAGCATCTATAAATATAAATGTCAATGTATTTTGGTTCCCTTGTGTTCGGAACAATAGGAAAACATTCAATAAATATATGTTTGAGCTGATTTTTAGAAAATACAAAAACCTAATGAAAGCATTTGGGTTGAGTAACTGTAGGTCCATCAGCCCCCACCCAAGTCACCCCACCAACTTTCATTGAAAGTTAAATCCTTTTATGACCCCTTTTAAGTCAGGATACTCCATAGATCTTTACTCTATATTTGATCATGCATGACAAATGATGGCTAACATTATATATACAAGTGACACCGGGACTGAACCTGCATTCCTATTGTTGCAGGGAAAACTTCTACATCCTACTTTACTGCCACCCCAGCAAACACCTGTGGG